TACAACGGTAATAATAATAACTAAACTGAAATGTGTAAAGAAAACAAAACCCGTTGGGGTTGTGCTATCATCATACAATTTGTATAAGTGTTGTACGCACATGCATGTAAATGAGTAAGGCATGAATGTGGGATTCATCCATGCAATGAGCAATCATCCGCAAATTTGCAGAGAAATAGAAAAATGAAAACTTCACAAATACATTACAATATATATGAACGTGTTGTCAACAAGAATGAATTAATTCCAATAATAATAAGGCTTTGTGTGAGTGTGATTATAATATATTTGTCGGTTTGTTTTTCATTTTTATAAACTCTTCAGCCTTATAAGCAAGTGTGTATGCACTAACGGTGGTGGTTTTGCGGTTATATGCATATATATGCATAGTAACATTTACGAGTATATATATGCATACGTATATAAGTAAATTGAAATGTAAATAAAAACTGCAATCGTTTCGTATTCGTCGTTTGATTTTATAATACATATACATATACATACACCCTCGTACATATGGTTAAATAAATAAACGAACGAACGCACACTATAAATAAACATCCCCCAAACCCTATACCACACATACAGACGTATATATATAACACAATACAAATGTAATATTTATGTGATTTCTCAAATAACAAAAAAATATATTAAAAAAAAAAAAAGAAAGAAAAAAAACTGTTTATATGACTGTAAAAGTAGAAATGAACAGAATTGGCAGAGAATAGCAGCAGCAGCAGCAGCACCAGCAGCAGCAGCAGTAACAACACGACGTTGAACAGCAGCACCGTCGACGTCAGGCAATAAGCTATAACAACAATAAGCTGTTAGCCTGCCAACACAACAATTGTAAACGAAATACGAAAATCGTATAAAAGCAAAAAGGAGGTGGAGAAGAAGGACACACAATAATAGCAACAACAACATCGTACATTTGTATTCACATAACAATCGTACTCTCTTACGTTTACCGGATTGTATTGTATGTTTATTTGTATGCATGTTATGTATATATATATATATAGCAAGCAAAGGCTGGCATTGATGTGTGTATGAATATGTGTTTGCATTTTTATTATATTTGTTGTATTTTCCTTTTTTTCTTCTGTATTTCATTTCAACGAGTGCTGAGTGTTGTTTTGTCCACAGAGTCGTTCGTCGGGGTACACACAACTCATACAATTTCAATGTTTCGGTTTCATTACGAATTTGTCATTCGTAAGCGAAGGTAGTTTTGTTGTAACGTTTGTATATGTTATCTCTAACTACAGTGTATGCGTGTGAATGCCAGCCTTACATATACGTTCGTGTGTATGTATTTGTGCTTGTGTTAGTTTAATGCAATAAAAATTTATTTGTTAACTATAACGCGCGTGAAGAAAGAAAAAAGTCATTGTCGCTTAAACTTTGTTAAAAATTATTAAATAAAAATTTAAAAAACGAAAACATTACAAACAGAAAAGGAACATATATATATATATATATATATATATATATATATTTCCTGGCGCGCGCGCGTATATCGTACGTTTTTTTAAATACAATTTTAATCATTAAAATCTTTTGCAAATGCTGAAAATAAATAAAACGAAACAAGGGACTAGAGAAAAAAAAAAGAAAGATAAAAATCAAACGAATAATATCACCGAGTACAGCTAAATAGTGGCAGAAATAAATAAAAGAAACAAATTTGCGTGTGTGCTCCATCATCGCCCTGCAGTATATTCGTATGTTATTGTATGCGTGGATATCAACATCAACATCAACAGCGGGCAGTGGTTGCCTCCTGTTATACAATGTACGAGATTTCGACATATTTTTCTGTAATTGTGTGATTGTGCGATTCGTTTGGCGGTGACTCTCTCTTTCGCATTACGATTACATTACGGTTTAAACGATTTGTTCAACATTTCAACATTTCATATGTCGTGTGACCCGCCGCCGGTAAACAGTTGTGTCACTCTCTATGGCTCTGTGTTTATTAATTATTGTCGTACGTCAACTTAACGCGTTTCAGTTAAGACAATTAATAATTGACTGCGTATTTGATTACCAGATAATCATTTATTTATGAATAATTGCAAATTAAATGTTTCGTGAAATTACAAAAAAAAAAAAAAAAAAAAAAATAAAGTAATTATTTATAATTACACATAAATAAATTTACATAAACGTCTACATTAAATAATTTAGTAAAAAAGTAATCGGTTCTTGTGTGCTTCTGCCATTTGAATAAAATCTGGCACAAAACAAAATTGTTTTTGTCTTCTTTTTATTTCGAATTTTTACGGAATTTTTGTTCAACCTTAAAACTAAAAAAATAAAAACGAAAAACAATTAAATAACATTCCAAAGTTAAATATAAAAAACGGATTCTATGGGAGCTCATCAGATTTTCAGGTTTCAGTGATCGATCTTCTGATTTAGGAAAGACAAGGCACACTTTTTAGTAAATGAATTTCTTAAGCCATTTTAAAAAGGCTTTGAAAAGAAAGGTAGTAATCTCAATGATCGAATAGCAATTACTTAGGAAATGTTTGCAAAAGAAGTTTATTGCATGCAATAATTCAGATAAATTGTGCTATTTTCAATAAATCGCATATTAACGCAATTTAAATTTTATCATCAATTTGGTCTTATCATCATTTCCACTACCAAATTTTATTATCGTATCTCTGACACCAAGCCAATGTAGCTCACAGAAACACCATAAAAATGTATCTAATATTGACCGGCACGTCTCTCTGCCTCTCCATTCTCCTTTCTTGTGGATATTGTGTATAAGATAATTGTTTAGAGGACAAATCGAAATCTGGTGCATTCTTGGGTTGATATCACACGTCCTATAGGCGTTTTGCAAAAGGAGGTGATCTGCCTAAGTACTCGATCAGAAAAGGTAAAGAAGTGAAAATTTTCAACGAGTACTAAATAGCAATGAAGGCTAAAGAAGATCAAATGCAATATTTATTCAAGTCTTACGCTTGGAAGTAAAAAGCCATCGATCTATTGGCAACAGGAACAACAGACTAATTTTAGAATTGCATGACACTCATGACAGACATGATAATGAAAGTGTAGCTTTTTATATTGGACTCTTTATGTGTGGAGAAGATTCAGACCTTGCTTCTAGCTTAACTCTTTGGAGATCCCAATTACGATTTGATTAATTGTTTGACTTGTGTTACATGCGGCGTTTTTCTAAGGCATATACATCCCTTTTTTTCTTGGTACCTAGGAGGGTTCTAGACACGATTTATATATTTAAGTTGACCGTAGCTATTCTGGCGTTTGAAAGATGATTTCATTTTACACTTTACAACACATAATTAGTTTTCTCTCTTGGGATATATTTCCTATAGCATAGTACTTCTCAACTATAATCTGATGACTATTCCCATATAAAAAGTTTCGTCAGATAAGTCAAAGAACAATTTAATGAGTTTGGATTGAAGAAAAAAAGTGTTAGGAAAAGATTAGGAGAAGAAGCCGAGAAGAGAATCCGATTATTTCATTTTAATATATCAAACAAATCATTCCTGTAAAAGCTTCATTGACTATCCTATTAAAGGTAGCATACGTCGAGTTTTTTGGCTGCAAAAAAATTTTTTTTGCATAGAGAATCTCAATCACCTTTAAATGTGAATAAATTGAGATAGTGATTTGCATATTGTACATTACATGGGATATCGTGCGAAATTCCTAAACAACCGTTAAACAAAATAATGGAAAATTCCATCAGAGTTATGGTGGACTAATAGGAATAGCTGCTATGTTTATTGGAAAGTGCACTTGTGAGAATTATCACATAATTATATTAGTGTCAAAATGTCTCTTGTAAAAGCCCCCTTCCGGTATAACAATCTCAATCGTTTGAATAGGTATTTAATACCAGTGGCTATGAACGAGAAGCTTATATTCAAATTATTTTTACTTATAGCTAGCTTCCTTTGAAAGTGTTAACTGGCCGTAAAGGAAACATAATGTGAAGTGCATTGTCGAATAATGAAATCCCCATAGAATCACAGTTGATGGATGCAACATATCCCTTTACTTCATTACTGCTAAATAAATTGTCTTAATTTTTAGGCTCAATATTTTTTAGCGAATCTCCTTGTTAGCTATTTACCTGATTTATTGTTCACTTTTTTTATAAGTTACTGACATTAAGTTATATACTCTATCGAGCATTTCTCTCTAACTCTCACAAGAAGACTTCATGTAAATAAGACTAAACTTGGAGAAAAGGTTAATACTCTTAGGGTTGTCTCATACGTATATATATATATATAAATCACGAATTGTTTTTAAAATACTAAACAGTTTACTCTGCCCCCTTAAGCATAAATTTACGCATAGTGGATTTTTTATTTTTTATTTTTTTTTTTATAAACTTGTCTTAGATGATGATTTGCGTAAAGGGATCAAAGAGAAAGTTAATGCTCACATTTTTTCCTATTATTAGGAAATTTTAGTTTAATTTTGGATAATGTTGGAATTTTTTTATTTTTTTTTTAAAGTTGGACTTAACTGGGTTGACTTTAAATTCCAAACTGAATAATGAACCAAAAGCGCAAATACCTTATTTCGAATTCATTAAAATTCTTCAATTTTCTTTTTATTGCTGATTTAAAATTAAAATTCTTTCAATTTTACAATTAATTTATTTTTGTTTTTTAAAATAGAAAAATTTTTCATCAGAAGTGAAAATGTTATCTGAAGCAATCAGTGAAAACTATTGTTATGAATAGAACTAGTTAAACATATATATAAAAAAAAAAAAAAATAAATAAATATATAAGAAAAAGTTGTAATAAATATTTTAATAACCTGTGATATGCTTAACAATCCCCGTAATAATAATAATAATAATAGTAATAATCAAAATAATAAAAAAAAATTAAGGCAGTTAATGTAATGAAATGTGAGTGCAAATGTGTGAATAATTATTATAAGATTGTTTAGTGTGCGCAAAAAAGAGAAAAAATAGCAACAAGGCAATGAACAACAACAGCAACAATAGTAATATATTTTTGAATAATAGCAACAACAGCCATAGTAACAAAAGCTTATATAATCAAAAATTCATTCCTACGCAATACAACGGTAATACAATGAACACCAACTCAATGCTGATGCATCATCAGCAACAGCAGCAGCAACAACAACAACAGCAGCAACAGCAACAAAACGGAGGTCGTGACGGTACGGGAAACCGTGGTGGATCAGATCGTTTAGATGACCGTACCAACGGACGTGGTTCACATACGGGCGGTAGGGGATCAAGTTGTTCGCCCGCATCGTCGCCTACACGCCATCCCAGTGCGGTAAGTCCGGTCACTTCATTAAATCATTCAATGATGCAACAAATGCAACAACAACACCATCAAATAAGTCCTCCGCCGCATGTAGGTGGTGTACCTACACCGAACGGCCTGCCAGCCGGTTTACCACCTCGCATGCCCCACGGCCTGCCACCGCATTCGTTGGGTTTGCTTAACTCATTGCAAATGATGCATCATGCCTCGCCTTTGGAACTGATGGCAGCTGCTCATCATCACGTACCGCCACGCACTTACAATAGCCCGCCTCCAATTTCCACCTCAGATCCTAGTGCCAATGAATGTAAATTGGTTGAATATCGGGGACAAAAAGTGGCCGCTTTTATTATAAGCGGGGAGACAATGTTGTGTTTGCCTCAGGCTTTCGAATTGTTTTTAAAACATTTGGTTGGCGGCCTGCATACGGTATACACGAAACTGAAGCGTCTTGACATTGTGCCGTTGGTTTGCAATGTTGAACAAGTGCGTATATTACGCGGTCTAGGCGCCATACAACCAGGAGTGAATCGCTGTAAGCTTCTCTCGTGCAAAGACTTTGATGTACTATATCGTGATTGCACAACTGCCAGGTATGTAATCTCAATCCGTTATCTCGTTCAAGAGAGATTTTAAATATTGTACGATAGGTTTTGCATATATACCTTATTCTGTTCTTTCAAAATATTGAATAAAAAAAATACACGTACTTTACCTACGATACTTCATGCGTATACGTAAATGCGCTCTAAATGCTTCTATCCATTTACTTTAAGGGAATAAACCGCGAACTGTGAGTAGGAGTAATACAGGGTGTTTGATGTGTTCATATGTCGAAAAGAATCCATCTAAATAATGATTAATTATTTCTGTATTGATTCCAACCTGACCCAACTGTTCATCCTTGTGACAACCAATGATGCGATCGACGATTTGTCTTAGGCACCACAATCACATTTTTTAAATGTGTTTTCACAATTCTTCTTCTTCTTTTTGTTTGAAAAAGCTTACCTTGTGGCTTTACAAAGTTTCTGTATCAACACCATTGGCTTTCGTTTTAAGTTACGAGAAGACGGGCGGCGGCCACGGCATGTGCATTAACTTAATTCGTTGGTCGGTGGAGTGAATTTCCTAAAAGTGCACTTCTTCTCAAGAACTTTTTTGTTCTCCATCTTGTTGCAAGGATTTTGTGAAATTATTTTAAAAAATACTTTTTTTTCTTTGTTATTCACAGAGGATTTGCTTTTAGTTACTAAAAGAAGCGCAAACAAATCAAATAAAATTCTTAAGTCTAAAGAAATATTGTTTTCTTAGTAAACTTTAAAACTTTCGCTATATGACCGCTGCTAGCAATTGATGGAATGGTTTTCTTTTGTGTGGAAATCATGGGAAGTAAATCATTTTTATCACAAGTTGTCTTAATACAAGCTTCGTGTAAAATTAGAGATCTGTATTAATGGGATACAGCCACAGATTCATAGAGAAATTGTGAAAATTACTGAGTGGAATGTGAGGTCATTTAGAAAAATACAAGTAGAGAAATAGAGTCAAGAGAAACCTCTCAGATAAGCAGAAAAGGTAGCTGCTTACGTTGTCATAGGCAGTCATTGTTTGCGAAGCCAATTGAGAACGAAATTGATGAGGAAGCTCCTCTAGAGCTAGAAGGTAGTTGGTTAGGAATTGTTAAAGACTTACGTATCTCCGCTTTGCTGCATTTGCTCGGTGCATAAATGTCCTTCAAATTTATTCCAATATTTAAAAGTGTGTGTAAATGTCTTTTGCATAAACACGGCTTTCTTCCGTGAAATCCTTCTGTTTGTCTTCATGACGAAGTGTGCTTTTTACGTGGCCATGGTTGCATGTCAATGAAAAGTATTCAAGGAAATTCGGTTAGTTTTTCTTTAAGGATTTTCTCCATTTCCTTCAATCGTAGACGATTTTTATACAAACACATCGAAGATTCGCTGGGAGGTACCAAGAGGTGTCAAGAATTTTAACTGGCATTTTCAATTTCGTTTTATCTAAGGGTATTTTCATTATACTTTTCTAGTTTGTTCAATCGATTGCAGATCTCTTACCTAGGGTTCGGTTTTGAAAAAAAGCAACATATATTTGCCTTTGATATGAATTCAAAGTTCTTGTAAAACCCAAAACCAAATGATATGCACGAAGGAATCGTGATTTTACTTAGTTCAGTAGAATTCATACATGCACAGATACACATTCACAATAATTTGGGCAAGCAAAGCTAACATTGTTGAAGTAAAAGTATTCAATACATATATAGCCGTACAGTTTATTGCACAGTTAGAAGCACTTCTTTCTGCATTTCTTTCAACTTGCTACGATGAAGTGTTAAGGTCCTTTTAAAGTAATAGAAATAAAAAGAAAGTCAAGTTATGGTTTGCACGCATACCTGTATATATACAAATACAATATCTTCTACGATCACATCTGCAATTCGTTCTTCGCCAGTCCTTATTTACATCACTAACCCCTAACAGATATAAATTTATCAAATTGAGGATCGCTATCGTCTGCAATTTGATCACAATTGTTATCGTAATTTTCAGAAAATATCTTTGGCATTCATCTAAGTACTTTATGTGCCTAATAACGTCTTCATTACTGCAGGCTATTAAAATATGGTTCAATGGCGATAGCAAATAAGTTCGGCTCGGCAGGACGCTGCAACAAGCAATAAGTTTGCACCTAACTCGACAAAGAATGCGTTTTACTTACTAACAAATCAAAAGTTTTATGATTGTTTATGGTGTTGCTGTCGAGTCACATATTGAAATTACGATGGACAAATCGATATCTATGGCTATAAGCCGGCCATAGAATTTGTTTGTGAATTTGTTAGTTCCATCATTTCGTCTATAGCTTACGTAGACGCTATCCGCTACCCGCCAAACTCGAGTGTGACACATATATGAAGTTCTGTGACAATTACCACGAGAATTATGTGCCCATAAAAGCATATGCATGCACGTAAATGATGAATGAAACATAAATTAATGCGTTCTGTCAACATTAGCAAGAATGCTGACCATCTCCACTCCTTCCTTTTCTCATTGGATTTGCAACTGTTTTGTAATAAAACTGTAAGCTATGCTTATTGGGGAAGACTATAACAATTCTTGAGGTCAGCTAGCAACCATATAGTTTCTATGATCGAAGGCGAGTATTGAAAAAAAGAAAAATGTAGAAAAAGATGCAAACCCTTTTGAAATGTTATATTAGGCTATGACAAGAAGTTAATATGAATGTTCGAATATAATCTCAAGAAATGTAACTGGAAATGAAGCGCCACTGTCAGAACACTCTATGTTGAGTGAATCAATGCTGCTGTTAATAGGTGTGAAGTAGAAATGAACAAATGAATGCCATCACAAAAGCTTTTTTTTGTTTACGTTAAAGGCACTTTTATGCTCAAGTTCATCCTTCATCTGTCCAGATGCATTTTCACTTTACTCGTCACAAAGTTCAAGGCAGTTTAAAGTAAAAACAGATAAAACGTCGCTCTTCTGCCGCCATGTGCCATTCTGCATTTATGCATTTAATTTTTCGATTTTATTTGCGTTAAGTGGATTTCTTTTCCTTTCATTTCTTCAGGTTTTGCTGTTAGCCAAAAATAGTAAGGCAAGAAATGTGAGTTTCTTTATGACGACAGTTGTGTTTATAATGACTTCACTTTGCTTACATTGATCTAAGAACTATGCTATGCGTTAATAATATCTCGATCTCATTAGGATGTTAGCACACAACTGCAGTTGGTCCTATTTAATGTGAAAGACAAATCACTAGCACGTAGTAGCAAATCTCTTTAGATCGTTATGAAAAAGTTCGTCTCGATTCTCGTCCACATAAAATTCGAAGCAATTTCCTAACTGTTTTTTTCCTGGCCTCCTATGCAAGACATTTTATTTCTAATGACCCGCACATTTCAAATAACGTGAAAGATCAAACCAATGCTTAATATTACGGAATTGCTGTGGTGATGTCGAGCGGAACCTCAACTTGTGGTATACTTATGCTAAGTGTGGCTCCATAGAGCTCTCCGCTTATTGCAAAATCTATGTCAAAATGCCTTACCAGGGATTTGTTGATGTCACGGATGTCATGGGTAACCCGTGATCTTCATATACCCGCCTGTTTTTTGTGATTGCAATCAAATTTATGAGAATGTCATTGAAGTATCTGATCTTGGACTTGAGGGACAACTGAATATTTGTCTTGAAACTTGAGGAGAGTGATGCCGCTTCGAAATCTATACGAGTAGAGTTTCTTGCATTATTCCATTCCATGTACTGTTAAAACATTTGTAGTCGCTGAAAGTCAAAACTGGAAACGAATGCACTTTTACAACTGCTTTAAATATAAATAAATTTTTTTTATGAATATCAGCCATCAGTGGGATATTGACATAAAGGCTTTCGGATAACTATTGGTCTTATCATCAATTATTATCAATTGTTATCATTTCGAATCATTAGCTTTCCTGCTCTGTTGTCTAACAATCGTAACAAAAATGCTTTGACTTCATTTAATAATTGTGTTTTCCCTCATAAACCGTAAGTTGTTCAGAAAGTCATTAATCTTTCTTCAATTTCGCGTAGAGCGTACAGCATCGCTACAGATGTCAATAACACTTGTGACTAGTACAGGGTAACGTTCATAAGTAATTGAAAACTTAGATCCCGAAGCCATTTCATCTTTCAGTGGAATGTCTTTTGTTACCTTTCTGCGGATAGCATTCATTTTTTTTTTTTTGTTTTTCATTATTCACTTTAAATAAATGATAATTTTAGTTAAGCTTGCATTCTGTTCTGATCAAAATCTTAGTTCGAGTTTAATTTCTTTCTTCTCTCCCCCTACAACATTATTACATAAAACTCACCCGTCCTTGGACATCAGAAACCAATGTGAAAACAATTTTATCGCACAGCACTAACTGTAGTAAAGTTTTTTGCCATAATTGTAATAAAGACCATATGTGGTAACGTGGAGAAGAAGGGTAATTATCATGTTTTTTATAAATTTTTCGCAAGACTGAAGTCAACATAGCAAACGAATTTTAGTAAAACTATGAGTTCCAAGTGTCGTCATTGCGACCAGACCATTGCTACGTAGAGTATGTAGGTAGAGTTAGAAAAGGAAAGAAGTAATGAAAGGAAAATATTTAAATTAATTTTTAAACGCACACACAAAATTTTCTTTTTGTGATTATATTTCGTTAGTATAGGGCGTAGTTGGCTCTTGAAAAATAAGCGTTGTTAACACATACTAGATAGTCTAATAAGTATCAAGTCTTCAAAAGGGTACATTTCATTTATCTATCTCATGCTCATGAGAGTGCGGTGTCATAAAAGTATCAGGAATAAGTAAATTTTTTCATTAATTTTCAAAACTTGTAAAATATCTTACCTAAGATATGTTTCTCTTTTAAAGCAAGTTTTTCAAGCTGCTTCAGCTTAAGCACTTTTGCGAGATTGCCTTTGTGTTTAGATAATATTATGTAAACTGTTGAGTAACGGAAAAGGTGCTTAGAAGCTTTCGTCATTGCGAAGGATATAAACGAGTTTTACTC